ACATCTCAACAGTGAGCATGCGCTGGATGATAGAAGTACAGCCCAATGTAGAGTACAAATGCAGGTTGTACAACAGTTAGAGCTGCAGGTAAAGATGATATTTTTATATTGCTATTGCCACAGTATTAATGGAGTGCAATTAAAATGAGTTCTACTGTGCCCCATTGTAATTTGAAAATTCCAGTAATTTTTAAAAAGTGTTTATGGACATTGCAACTTGGCTTCCTATTTGCAAATTTGTCATAAATGCACTAAGTTAATTTAAATTATCAGTACATGCTTTGATGTCTTGTACACCAAAATTTCGGTTTTGGTAAGGGATATGGATACTTTGGCAGAATGAGAGAAATGTTGTTATTCTAGCCTTTCCCATGATTGGACTGGAAATAATCTCTTAGATCCTAGAACTGTTTGTTTACATTTCATGTATTTTCACACATATATATTATATACATTTTTAGAAGAAACATATATATATATATATATATTTATGCATGGAAGCTGATTTGTATTTATGCAGTGTCAGTTTCTAATGGTTTTATTAAGTGAGTACCATTGGAGTTTACAATAATATATAATTGCAGTACTATCATGACCCTTTACGTAACTGTATTTCAAAATGCTTCCAAGTCTTTTCTGTTTGTCTCTTGCTGTTCTTTATGGGATGACTTTCTTTATGTGTAAGAGAGTAGACAAAAGGTTAGCCAAAGAAGACAAATTAAAACAATGTTCTACATTATATAGTTACCATTCCCCCCCCCCCAAAAAAAGCCACCCTATTTTGTATGCAAGATGGTAATGTAGAGATATATAGAAAGCCGTGGGCTAAGTGCAGAAGATAATTACATTTGGAAATTTACTGAGTTAGTCATTTACAGCTTCAAATAGTTACAGAGAAAAATCAGCAAAAACACACTTAAACTTTTTGTTGTTACTTTTTCACGATAACCATGACTTATATTTTTAAAATTCCTTTTATCTTCTTATCTCATAAATTAGACATCTTTTCCTTCAGATTTTACTTATGGTCACAATGTTCTTTCATTATTAAATATTTTAATACAATTTCTTTGAGGAAAATCAAACACTGGGTGATAGCAACTTCAGCAAGACTTACATTATGAAAAATATTAAGCAGCCAGAAATCGGTTTTCCTTGCTGCTAAAATTACAAAAAATGAATTGCAGGTTTTCTGTTAAGCTCAGAGGAAGTTATCCATCAGGTTGACATGTGAGAGAGGTAAATTTGACCAGTATGAAAACTTCCAAATGCAAGCGTATCCACAACAGAAACACTGCTTACAGGGCCTGTAGAATCTCAGTCCTTGAAAGTTTTCAAAAAGGGGGTGGAAGGGGCTGGCCAGCCCATCTGTAAGGAGTGCTTAAAGCTTGTCTTTCCCTGTCTTAGAGATTAATCCAGTGTTGTTGTTTTCCTCTTGAGAGTGTATTAGGGAGAGATCAGAAGCAGACCTTCAGATCCTCTGCTCCTCTCACTGAAGGTAGAAATGAAGAAGGGCAGGATATGCCAGTTCAGTGGTGACTTACCTTTGCTGTCTGAAAGGGGCAGGGCAGGGAGTACGTAAGCCTGTGGTTTGCTGTTTCTAGGTTCCTTCTTTGAGTGGAATAATACCTGCATGTTGTTTGAGGATGGACTCAAGTGGCGCATTGGATCTCTTCCTGTTTTATTATTCCATTGGCTTTGTTGCCAGAGTTGCTTTCATTAGAGCTTTACCTGCCACCAACAAATAGAGAAATTGTCCCAGTTGGCGCTGCAGCCCTGCCTCTTTACAGCCTTTAATGCCAGACCTGTAGGCCCTTCCAGAAATCAGAGTGAGAATGAGAACACGGCCTCAGAGAGACTAAAGAAGCATTTTAGGGGCAAAGAGTAGTGGGGGGTTGAAGAGCTGTGTGCTGCCTACATTCAAGTGAAGGTGGTTCACTCGTGGACTCAACCTTTTGATTTTGTGATGTCGTGTAAATTGCTGGCTTGAATGATATCATGCCTTGATGTCTGTTCCAGGGCTATAACACCTGTGATGTGATGTGCTGCAAGGGTGGCCCCTTTCACTCTAGTCTGACAATACGTGCATGCATAGTAGCAAAAGGCAGCTTGATGGGTCAGCTGTGGCAGCCTCCATGAGACAAAATATCAAAGTTCAGGGTCAGTAATAACAGGAAGAGTAGGATGGGGAGAAGTTTATATATAAAACCCTTTTTAGACCCTTTCACTTTCTTTGGCCGTTCCCCATATAAATGAACGTCAGCCACTCCTTTCTAGCAAGGTTGCTTTTTCAGGACATTGTGTCAGACAAGATAAAACTTGTCCTCAAACACTGATGCTGAGCCACACTTGCAGGGCTGTGCAAAAATGACTGATCCACTTCCAACCAGGCTGTATGCATTTTATAGTATACAATGATAAAGAATGATAATTTCTGTTTCACTATGAGATTGACTGATTTTTTTTTTACACTGCCCTTCCAATATGTGGGTTACGGTATGTAAAATAAAACCACATATGCAGCCAGGGCTCTTTTGTAGCAGGAACTCTTTTGCATATTAGGCGACACACCCCTGCATATTAGGCGACACACTCTTACAGGAGCTACTGTAAGCTCTTGGAGGATTGGCTACATTAGGGGTGTGTCGCTTAATATGCAAATGAGTACCTGCTACAAAAAGAGCCTGTGACACAGCAAACCAAACTGTCTTTTAGAAGCCATCAAAACAAACTATATCACTTACCATACCAACCCTTAAACCCATACCTTCTGTAATAATAGTGTTGCATGCCTTCCTGAATGCAGGAAAAGCTGACGTCTTCCATGCACCCATTCCATAGATTGGCAGTTAGGACAGAAAAAGCTCTCGTATGGGCAGCAGTGGTGTAGGCCACCCGCAGAAAAGGCATTTTTAAGGAGAAATTGTCATGTGGGTTCCTATATATAAGGAGAGGCAATTTGTAGGTCCAGTGTAGCTGTTTTAATATTAGCATAGGATGGGCATAGTACTAGGCCACCATGTTCTATATCAGTTAAAGCTTCATAGTTGTCTTCAAGGAGAGCCTCATGTAGAGCATAATGTTAGCAGAGCATATTGTTAGCATATTGTTAGGAGCTTCGGCGCATGAATCAGTGTGACTAGGTCAGCTAAGTCTAGTAGAGGACATAACTTACAAATCAGATGAAAAAGGAAATAATAAAAATGGAAGATGAAAGAATCCCACATTATTAACTTTACTGTTGTATCACAAGGATATTTTTCATTGGAGTGAATCATAGCTTGGCATGTTTAAAGGCAATGCCTTTTAACCAATCCAAATATGTGCACAAACCTTGCCCAAGATGTCTTTTGCAGTTATTAGGGCTGCAAGCTTTAACTGGTTTAATTGTTAGATTAATCAGTGAAAGCTTTGGCTGATTGAGTGAGGTTCAGTTTTAATAACTTTGGGCAATTTTTAATTGGTGGAGCTGTGGGCTAAAGGCATATTTATTTAAGTTAGAAAATGAAAAAAGAAAATATTCATAATGACCTTTCCAGGGAGTAGTAGTAATTTTTAGAGTAAATTGTGATACCACACTTCCTTCCGTCCTTCGAAAGGATACCTATATCACAGTTTTGATGACAAACTTTTTAATTGTAATCATGTATTGAGTGATTAATCTAAATATTATTATTTTTTGACAATTATATGGGCTTCTCTTGAAGTGGCACACTTGTAATATCGGTGTAGCTGTTCCTTTGGAGACCACTCATTGTATTATTCAGAAAATTTCCTTTCGTACATTGTCTTCAAGGGCTTTTATGCACAGCCAGTTACCATGAGGTAATGTCGTCTACATGTGGCAAAATGCCCCTGTATCCTGAGCGTAGCATTCCTGTCTCAGGCTTAGGAGAGAATTGTGAGAGGTCTCCTGTGGCATAAAAATACATAATGTGATGAGAGGTTTTCAGATAAATTTAAAAACATAAATTAATTAATTGTGCAAATAAATCCAAGACTGGAGTGAATAAAAACGTGAGGGAAAATAAATGGCGAGCCAAAATACTTCCACAGTTAGCCTCTTGTATGGACAGATATATATCCCATTAGTTCATAGCTGGGCTGACTGTAGCCTGTAGTGAACTTGGCTTAGATGTTCTTGAGCCAGCCCTCTTGACTCCTGAGATGATGTCTGCTTGCACTGCCTCTGAAATAGGCAGAGAAAATGGAACATTGATTGGCTCCTATGAACTCTCCAAGAATAAATGTAACGTAATAAGGTTGCGCTTCCTGGCCATGAATCCCCAACATCTCCATATGCTCCACGCACTGCTGTTTTCTCTGCAGCAGTTACTAACATATAAGTGGAGGAGTTATTTTAAAAGCACATTTTTAAATTTAAAAAGTATATGTTATATTTTGCATCAGCACTCTTGGTTTATCTGGGTAATAGCCCCTAGCAAGTTAGCAGAGTTCCCAAATCACTGTTCTGTTGAATCTTCTGAAACATCCTTTGTGTGTTTGGAGCTTTGAAATGCTAATGAGTGAATAATGGGGATGCTGCTGCTGCTTCTGCTGCTAACTCTTCCCCTCTGCCTTTGCTCTTCTTTCCCTGAATCATTTTTTTTCAAAGACATGTCTGCCCTTTACCCAAAGTTGTAAGGTCCTCCAATGTCCAGTTTGGTCTTCCCAGTCTCATCCATGATGAAATAGCTTCAGATAGTTGTCCCTGCATCGCTCTTGTTGTATACCTGCTAGATTAAAGTATTAATTATTTTTCATAAAGCTAAATTACCTAAACAGCATGATAAAAAGTAGAGACATCACCCTGCCAACAAAAGTCTGCATGGTCAAAGCAATGGTATTCCCACTAGTCATGTATGGCTGCGAGAGTTGGACTATAAGGAAGGCCGAGCACCGAAGAATAGATTCTTTTGACCTATGGTGCTGGAGAAGACTCTTAAGAGTCCCTTGGACAGCAAGAAGATCAAATCAGTCAATCCTAAAAGAAATCAACCCTGATTGTTCCCTGGAAGGCCAGATAATGAAACTGAAGCTCAAATACTTTGGCCACCAAATGAGAAGGGAGCACTCACTGGAGAAGAC